CACTATAATCAATCTGATGCGTTTGAAACTATCCCGAAGCGCTAAAAGCCGTGACTTAGAGGGTTGGCAGCTGACGGAAGAACGTTAACACCGCAGTCGGTCCAGTGTGTCTTGCTGTGTGTAGTGACTGGTAGATTCAATGGCTCCTCCTTTATGTGGCATTTACGGCGCTCGCAGTCAGGAGCCTACCTAGGGAGATGTGCTGTTGGTATGCGTGTTGAGTGTTGGTCGCGCCAGCCGTCTGCGCCCTCCCTCATATATGGCCCTCTTGAATCTGTCTTGACAACCGGGTCCCGGTGTGGGAGTGGTCAAAGAGTAAATTAGATCCTCCGCGAGTTTTCTTTCACTGTATATTTCGCGGGACTCACCAAGCTGCTTCAACTCCTTGAAACCCAAGTGGATATCGTAGAAAGCAACGGTTGAACTGTCGTCGTGTGCGAGTGTCAGCTAGTCAGAACCCGTTCGCTGGAAAGTCGCATGCCATTGAGGCACTTGGTCTTGCACAGGGACGTCGGTAACAGAAATGTTGAGCGTCGGCTACAATACAAATTATCCAAATAATCTATAAATTATTTAAACTCTCACGAATAGAAGCACATATTCATGCCCCAGACACGCACACTATCAAGCCAAAGACACAAGACACGGTACAAAGGACGTGTGCAGACGCGACACGAGGATACGACGTGAGCATAGAATGCCACCGGCCCCACCCCCCATTTACTCGTAGCTAGGCTGCAAAAACATACCACCGCTTGCTATTTTTTTCATTTCTCTGACGATGGCCTCTTGCGTGATGCCGAAAGGTTAAAATAATACAATTGCCGACCCAGTGAGCGTGTCTTTTTCTTCTTTAAACTCTCGACCCTAGGCGATCCAGTCTGAAGGGACCGGTGCGACCCGTCGTGGATCCGCTTCCTCCTCCGTCAGCGCCTCCTCCTCCGCCTTGCTGCTGTCAGGCACCTTCAACCTCGAGCGCTCACGTCTGTGGTTGCGTAGCTGTGAGCACTATATCGGCACCCGGTCAGTGTCTGACTGTGTCACCCTTGACGCAGTGCGCACTGTACTGGGTGTGTTAGCCTCTCTGCCACACCTTGGTCGTGCCTCTGTTCAGCTGTCTCTACGCGGACGCCGCTCGACCCTGACCAGCATAGACGACTCCGAGGAGGACTTGGAGACGAATGCCTGCTATCTGGATGTGGATGCAAACTCTCTGGTAGGCCTCACAAAGCTTACGTCCGGAATAATCATAAAGAAGTCGCGGGTTTTGTTGCTTTGGAGTGCTTTGATTTTTCTGGTTTGCATGAACAAAGTTTCATAATACAAATACCGCATGAAACAGCACAAAAAACCCTCCCACCCCGTTCGTTATAACCTCTGCCCCAAAACCTCTAATGCGACATTCCCAGCCCTCACTTTTCATTTAGTCTGACGACGAACAAGTGACACCTGTTGGAAAATTAATGAGTACAACTCGATTTTCCGAAGATACAGTTCTGCGAATCCTGCAAACAAAATGCAGGTCGTAATTTAACCGGGTAATTTAGCGTATATCTGGCCAGGTTATTTTGATAAACTGAGTGGATTTAATAATAAGAAGGGCTTTAGTTTGGACAATTTACTCAAAGATATTCAATAACAACGAATGTAATCATTCTA